ATCAGTCACAAGAACGTCGAATCTGAATCACTTGAAAAAAACACTGGGGTGCTTAACTTTTTTCCAGGTGTATATATATATACTAATGTCCTTTTTAGTACATGAAAGAAATCATTGTGACCTCAGACAGAAGAGTTCTGTAAAAGAATTTGAATGGTAAGGTTCATCATATTTTTGTACACTTGTCTGGAAAAATCACTTACTTACCTAGATGAAAATTCAGTGAAATAGTGAAATTTTGATTCACTCCATAAACAGATATATAGCAATTTAGGCAGTTGTATTAGCACAGTAAGCTTTAGTTTTGCACAGCCAATACTGTGAAATAGTCATTGTTAATATTCAGACATTTTAAAGATGGTTTTAACCAGGTAATTTTTATGGCCACCATTTTGTTTCATCATGATCTTTACTATTAAATACTACCATACTTAATGATATTGACTATCTTTACAAGTAAATATGAACATTCACATAATGAAAATAGGTATAATTCTTCCAGTAGTTAAGTAAGTGGTAGAAGTTACATTACTATTGCTTGTCAATGTCAAATGTTATACTTTTATGTTATATATCAAAGACAGAAACCATCTCACAATATATGCCACTATAATATAACCAAAAAACATTTCACAATATATGTCACTTCACTGCAGACACACAAAACATCTAACAATACATGTCACTAAACTGTAGACACTACATCTGACATTATATGCCACTAAACTGCACACTAAAAATATCTAACATTACACTGTTGACACAAAGCATCTAACACTATATACCATTACATTGTAAACGTAAAATGATTTATAATGATCTTTCTCAATTTACCAACGACACTACCTGTAATTATTTACAGCTAAATGAGTTACCATGAAAGGAGGGTAGAATACAAATCACCACCCTTTCAAAAGCTTCCAGACCCCTTTCAAACATGTGGCATAACTTAGCCAATAATGCTCTGCAAACAAAATAGTGAACATGAGAGAAGAAATTATAGGCTGTTGAAAAAATGGAAAAGTGATGTGTGTAAAAGCATACAGACTAATGTCACAGGCTATCTTAGTGTCATTCAGTAGTATCACAAAATTTATGACATAACACTGAGATAATTGTTCAGGTCAGCTAAAAGTAATGTCAGAACATTAGAAATTTTCACTTGATAGAACAGTGAGAAAGTGTTGAAAATCACCTTTGCAACAAATTTAAAGTATTTCAGTATATTCAATGTGGACTTATAAATAGCTACCATCTTGGCTAAGTAGCTTTAAACTCGCAACAGTATACATCTATTTATAACTAAATTTTATTGTTTTATTGCCCTTTGAGCTGTGTAACTACTATTTGCACCATTGTAGGTTGTAATTCACTTGAGGAATGTGCAGCTCATCGAATTACATTACCCACAAGCTACTCCGAGCTGCTCGCATGCATGCCTCATGAAATATTTTTATTATATAATTATTATCAATTATTTTACCTAGTCTAACCTTAACTAACCTAAAGAGATCCATATTTTCACATTTTACTCACTTTTATAATACTAACTAAAGAATAAACATGGAAACCAAGAAATAAAGTACTTGCCTGTGTCTTCTTTTTCTTGCTGTTGACAACACTTAACCCTACTTTTTTCCACACTAATGACAGTAATGCACAAAATAATATTAGTTTAATTAAATAATGCACCAAAGAACACAGAATAATAACATGCAAAAAGCAGACAATGTCACATAGCTATTACAATTTTTATGGCTTTCTAACTATGTGACAAGGGCTGTTACAAATTCATCTAAGCTAGTCATTATCTTTTCCATGGGAATGAAGCTTGTACTAAAAGAGAAATTGAAAATTCTCTGTTCAGAAAGCAATGTTTGATAGATGAAAACCTTAGCTTTATATTGGTTATAGATAATACAGAATTAACCGTAAGATAGAACTATTAACAAATCCTGAAAGAGCGGATGCGACAGATGGGTGTCGTAAGAGGGGTCTGATTTTCTAATCGATAGCTATATAACCAAACAAAATTGAAGGCTATAAAAATTATGGTTTGTCTAAGCAATGCCAATTTTATTGTGAGTAACTGACATTGAATTTCTTACTTATT